GGGCGAGTTTCTGGGGGAATGATCAGGGTCATGCAGAGGGAGGATTCCCTCCTGGAGATCCTCGAGTTCCAGCACCCAACCTGCCCCCATCCCCAGTGCGGGTCTTTCCGCGGAGACCCTACACTCAGCCATGTGGGCGCGGGACCAGCTGCGTGCAGGTCCTCCCAGGCCTGGGGTGTTGGTGCCCCGCCCACAGCCTGGTCCTCACCGCCCAGCCCTACCTTCGCGCAGCTGCCGCCGAGCCCAGCCACCTGCCCCACGCACCCTGTGGACGCCCCCAGCCGCAGGACTCGGTGGGCACTGCAGGCGGCGCACGGCGCTCAGATGGACACAGCTCCCCCGCACCGCGTGAGCCGCCTCCCTGCCTGCAGCACCGGCTCGGGTTGGGTCTCGCTGTCCGTGGGGCAGCCGCCCTCGCCCCGGGAGTTAGGTGAGCCCAGGGGACTGACCTGGGCCAGCCGAGAGCCGCGGAGCCTCAAGGCCCTCCCTAGCCCCAGGGGCCTGTTCGTCGGACCTACCTTGAAAGGTGACAGTGGAGGGACAATGATGACAAAAGCCAGGCGACCGCGAGTGACAGCGAGGGCCAAGTGATGTGCCGGGAGTCCGCCAGGCAGAGCCCTGGCTGCGCCCCGCCCCTCCCACCACCTGGGCCCTGGCGCCACCCCCACCCCCTCCTCAGGGCTGGGCTGACCCCAGAGACAGCCTGTGCTGCCCAGGGCTCACCCAGCGGGTGGACACGCAGCCAGGGGACAGAGTGGGGCTGGTCCAGTTTCCCTGAGGGACCAGCTTGGGCCTGGTGGAGAGGTCTCCTTCCACTTGAGGGGGTGGATTCCTCAGCTTCATACCAGGGGCCTTCCCCCTCCAGTGCCCTGGGCCAGTCCGGAGGAGTGGGGATGGGACTAGGACCCTTTACCCTCTGGGGCCTCTGCAGCCTGCAGGGATCAGGTGACCCTCAGCTGTGCCCCCTGACAGGCGTCCTGTGTGGGCCATGTGGGCACCCTGGGATGTGAGCCTCTTCCTGCTAGGGGACCCGGGTCTCCGTGGAGCTCCCTGCTCCGCCCGATCCCCCCGTCCCAGACCAGCGGCCAGCTCCAGAGGGCAGGAGGGTGCCATGCTCTTCAGTCTGATCTGAGCTGAGAGTGGCGGCCTGAGGCGTCTCCAGCACCGGCCCACTGTGGGGGCTGTGGGGCGTGCTGCCTCGGGAGAGGTGCCTGCAGCTGCAGCACTTGGCAGGGATCGTGTGGCCTCGAGGCTGTGGGGAGGGGGCTTCCCTTTGCGGTTCCGCATCTGTCAGCCTGCAGAGCTGAGACTGGCCCCTTTTCCTCTGACACATTTCTCTGTGTCTTGGGTGCACCCCTTGGGCTCCTGTGGGAGCTGCGCCGTGTACCAGCAGGTGACGCACACACCAGGTTGCATCCTAGGTGGGGGCCCCCAGGCAGCAACAGCAGCCTCTGGGGGCACAGGGCCAAGCTCCCCAAACTCAGTCCTTGCAGAGGCTGGGCCACCCCCGGGGAAGCCTGGGCCAGGGCCAGGAGCCTGTGAGCAGGTCCTGCCTTCCCCAGTGTCACAAGGAACTGCCCGGCCTGCCTGGGGTGGCCCAGCGCCCTGCAGGGGTGGTTGGGGAGAGGTGAGCCTGTCCCTCGAGGGCGCCCAGGTCCCTGAAACCACTCAGCAGGCCTCCTCGCTGCTGTGACTGAATCGGGGCCACCTGCACCTCCCGCCCTGATGTGGGTTGGCGGGATCAGAGGCGCCTCCGGAACTGGGGCACATTAGGGAAGGGATTATTTTTATTACGGATTTGGGGGTGGGGTGGGGCAGCTTAAAGCCCAGGGCACCAGGCCTCCTCCTCAGGGCAGATGGCTGCTCCTCTTGGCACGGTGGGGGCTAGACGAGTTCTCCCTGGCCCTGGTGCCTGCCCTGCCTGTGCCCTTGGGTGCTGACTCCGGATGCACCTTAGTATCTGGGCTCCTGGGGGCTGTCCCTATGGCTGGGGGCAGCACTCCGCCCGGCGCCAGAGGGTGGAATGACTGTTGGGGGAAGGGTGTGTGCTGCCCCAGGGTGCAGGCAAGGTGGGGGGACCCCAGGACATGTCCCTGCATTCACTGGGACAGCAGGTGGCTTGGGGCCACGGCCAGGGTGGGGACACCCTGAGCTCTGCAGCTGAGTTGTGAGAGCTGGGGCTTCTGTGACTGCTCTCAGGACCCCAAACGGCCTTTGCATCTGCTCATCTGGAAGGACCTAGGGGGTCTCCTAATGGGGTCCTCAAGGCTCCAGGTTCTGGCTTTTGGGCAATTCACTGAACCCAGTAAAGGTCACCGAGGGTGCCTGAGTTATGTCCAGCACTGCCAGTGCCCCCAGCAAATCAGGACACGGGTTGGAGTGTGGTGTGGGCCACCAGAACAGCCGACACAGACCGTGGGACCACGTCCTGGAGTGAGCACCGCCCTGTGGCCCAGGCAGATCCTGCCGGTCCTCAGCGTCTCAGGGGAGAAGCGGCTGTGTGTACCTGCACGGTGGACCTGGCCCGCCTACCTGCCCAAGGTTGAGGGCAGGAGGAGGTTGAGGGAAGTGGGGGCAGGGCCAGGGTGAGCCGAGGGCCTTGGGTTTGCTCCAGGCCCATGTCCCAGGCATGTGGTAGGTCCTGTCTCTCACCCCACTTCTGTGGTGGTTCAGGTCTCTGGGGGTGGGGGGCACCAGTCATCCCCCCCATGTCGTGTGGACCCCCAGAATCAGAAGCAGGTCCTGTGCTGACCTGGGCGGGTACAGTAACCTCCACTCCCGTGTGAGGGGCTGTGAGACGCCATCCTCAGTAAGACGGGGTCTCGAAGACTGACTTCTACTTTCCTACCAATTTTTCCTACCAAAGTTGGACACCCCCAAACACATCCAGGCCCCGACCCCTCGAGCTGGAGTCAGCCTCGGGGTCTAGAACCTCCCTCCCCCGGCCCCACAGCTGGACCTGGCTTCAGTGATTCTTGTTGGGAAGAATGGCAGCCATTTCCCCACCTGAGTGACTGCAGCCTCCCGGGAGGCCAGGGGCTCCGTTCTGAAATTAGGCCACTAATTGGGCCGCTGGGTGAGACACGCAGAGCTCTTTCCGCTGGCCTAGAAATGGCTGTCCCTGGCCTGAGGGGCTCCTGCCCCGCCAGACATGGGACTGTGCAGCTGGGCCTGAGACCCCATCTACAGCCAGCCGAGACCACGGGGGAAGCACATGAGGCCGGGGGCGTCCACACTGACCTTAGGGCTTGGTCCCACACTGGCACAGGGGTCTCTGACCCCCTCCTAGCTGGAAGCTGCGGCAGCAGAGTCTCCCGGGACTGGCCTCTGCCTGTGGCCTCAACTCCGAGTGGGTGAGGGAGACAGCCCCCGACACCAGTCAACTCCCCAGGGAACAGAGGAACAAAGTGCTGAGCTGGGGACCCAGGGCTAGCCCCGTCCTCCCCCAGCCTGTACCCTAGGCTCTGCAGAGGGCTCTGGCTGTCCTAGCGGGACCCTGTGGTCTGCCGGCCCCAGGCAGCCTGGGGGCAATGGGTGAATGTGTGTGGAGGACGTGCTGACTTCGCTCAGTCCCTGCAAACAAAACCGCAAACGTGGGGCCCAGGAAAATAAGGAAGCTCCTCTGAACCAAAGGAAGCTCACGGCAATGACTTATGTCCTCTGTGAAAGTTTTAAAGTGATTTTCAAAAACAATTTAAGCTCTTAAACACAAGCACAGAAAACGTCAAGGGAATCCCGGGTGCATGGTTGTCATCCACACCTGGCCTCCATTGTGTAGTCAGGGACCTGCTAGGGGCCAGGCCGGGGTAGCGTGCCTGCCGCAGCTCAGTTTACTCAGAACAGCTGCAGGCCGGTGCGTGGTTACAATTTGCAATTGCCAGAGGATTCCTGCTTAAGAGACGCCGTCTCCTGAAAACCCAGGTATCGCTTTGCTAACCAGAAGTATGGCCCGAGGCAGGAGGCTCTGGGAGCACGGAAGCAGGCTGGGCAGTGGATCCCCACAGCCTCGGACGCCCTAGCTCCTGGCCTGAGGACTGGAGGTCAGTGTGTCCCCGGAAACAATGCCAGCTGGGCTCCTGGGGATGGGGTGCTGCCCCCACTCCGAGCTTGAATGTGTTTAAGGGGAACCGATGGGCAAAATAACAGCCTGCTGGGCTCAGAGGCCCCCACCGCCGGCTACACCAAATTACTCTCTTTCAAGGGCGCCAGCTCAAAGACGTTGCAGATATTCCAAAATAGACACACGTTTGCTCAGCTGAGGGTGGTGGGAGGCCTTGAGGCGAGACCTTTCCAAGGTCTGTGGGGGAAGAGGAGGGAGAGTCGCGCCTTCTGCCCCAGGCCACCTCCGGTATCCTGGTCCCTGGGGCAGCTTTCCTAGGAGCCCGTAATCCGCAGGGTGGTGGCCAGAGTCGTGTAGCAGGCTGACAGGGCTTCTGGCTTTGGGAGGGTCCCCACCCACACCGACAGACACTTGCTTTGGGATGACTAGACTGGGTGCAGTGGCTCACACCTGTCGTCCCAGCACTTTGGGAGGCTGAGGCTGGAGGATCCCTTGAGCCTGGAAGGTGGAGGCTGTTGTGAGCTATGATCACGCCACAGCGCACAACAGGGAGACCTTGTCTCAAAAAAAAAAAAAAAAGGGATGACAGAGGTCCAGTGACTTTGCCCAAGGAAAATTAGAAGTTAAGATGGTGTGTTTTGGCCTTTGTCCGTCCCCATGGCTTCATTCAAACATTCCGGGCTCCCTGGCCACCACTGGAAGTGCGTCAGGGCCCAAGGACCTTCCTGTACCACGACCCACAGGACGTCCTGTGAGTCCAGGTTGGCCTCTAAGAGCCTGGATGGGTCACGCCATAGCCCATCGGGGATCCTGGGACCCCCAGTGCAGGGGGTGGTGCCTCTGCTGTTTCCAGGCCTGGGGAAACCATGTAGACGGGACCGTCTTCCAAATCGGATTGGCAAGTGGGTTTGGCAGAGCCCAGCGAGACACCAGGATGGCCCAAACTGACCAGAAGCCCCCATGCAGAGGCGGCTGCTGGGGACAGCCAGGTTACCCCAACACGAGTGGGGCTCCTGCGTGCCCCACTTCCCACCCCATCGGTCACAGGCCTCGAATGCGCATCCTGCCATGTGGAGACCAGACCACAGGCCGCCAAGCCCTGTCTCGGGAAACGGGCCTGGGGCCCTGGGCGGCCGGCACTCACTTCGTGGCTATCTCTACCACCACGTGGGGCAGAAAGATGCCGGCCTGGATTTCTGAGCTCCTCAACAGCTCGGGAACAGCGCAGTCACTTGCCAACGCAGTGTGTGAGGCACAGACCATTCCAGGGCCTGGCCTGTGCCCACAGGGCACTCCTACCACACGGGCTCCTTCTCACAAGGCGACACCGTCCACCCCCAGTCGCTGGGGCCCAAAGCAGCCCCAGAACAGACACATGCACCCCAAAAAGGGGGTCAGTGGGGTAGACGCACCCATCTGGGGACCCTGTGTGTCATCCCAAGTGGGCTGTAGCCCTGGGCATCTGGTCTTAGGTCCCAGGGCTTTGCCAGCAGAAGCCTCCAGGTGTGCAGGGTCTGTGCTGGAGGCCTCCCACCGGCCACCATGGATTCTCCACCCGTGTGGCAGCACCCAGGTCCCTGCAGCGACAGACTTCTCGCACTCAGTGGGCAGCAGAGAGCCCCTGAGCAGCCCAGGTGCGTGCAGATGCACAAGGCTGGCTGGGGCGGGAGAAAGGGAGGGAGGGGGGGCTCTGAGGAAGGTGCCTGCGTCCCCACAGATCAATCACTTCATATTTGATGTGACCTGCAAACCTTTTATTTGCAAAATACAGAAAGTAGGCGGCAGGAAGTAGCGGCTTACACCTGTAATCCCAGCACTTACGGAGGCCAAGGCGGGAGGATCCCTTGAGCTCAGGAGTTGAAGACCAGCCTGGGCAACACAGTGAGACCCTATCTACAAAAAAATACAAAAATTAGCTGGGTGTGGTGGTGTGCACCTGCAGTCCCAGCTATTGGAGAGAGGCGGAGGTGGAAGGATTGCTTGAGCCTGGGAGGTGGAAGCTGCAGTGAGCTGAGATAGTCACTGCACTCCAGCCTGGGCGGCAGAGCAAGACTCTGTCTCAAAAAAAGTTGAGGCCGGGCACGGTGGCTCACATATGTAACCCCAGCACTTTGGGACGCCAAAGTGGGCGGATCACCTGAGGTCAGGAGTTCGAGACTCACCTGGCTAACATGGTGGAAACCCGTCTCTACTAAAAATACAAAAATTAGCCAGGGGTGGTGGCCTGCGCCTGTAATCCCAGTCACTCGGGAGGCTGAGGCAGGAGATTCGCTTGAACCCGGGAGGCCGAGGTTGTAGTGAGCTGAGATGGCGCCACTGCACTCCAGCCTGGGCAGCAGAGGGAGACTCCGTTTCGGGGGAGGGGGGGAAGTTTGGAGTCACGCCGCCACCACCCTTTTAAGGACGCCTGGAGCTCCCAGAGCCCCCCGGAGCTGAAAGAGGCAGGCAGGATCCTCCCTACAGCCTCTGGAGGGATCGCGGCCCCCATTACCTTTTCAAAAGGTCACCTTTCCCCGCGGTGTGACCCTCGAAAGCTAGATGTGCCCAGGAAGCAGGAGCCCAGGCCCTGCACCTTCCCTCCCGCTCCCTCTGGCCGCCGGGCCTCGGCCAGCGCTGCCCCCTGTCCCGCCTGTGCCCTCGCCAGGGCCCCTCGCCGCCGCCCCCTGCCGCCTCCCGATCTGGTCAAACTCCCGGGCACGAGCCCCGCGTGCAGGCGCCGGGCCTGGACTCCTGTGGCCGTCCCGCCAGCGCCCGCCTTCCGTCCCTGCATTTAGAGAAGGACGATGGCAAAGGCACCCGCCCGCTGACCCCTCTTACAGGTGGGGAAACTGAGGTAAGACGGTCGGGGCTGGCCGCAGGGCGTGTCGGGCCCTCGGGGAAGTTGTCCGGACCACCCGGACGACCCCGCTCGCAGCCTTCGCCCGCGCCCGCCAACTTTTCAACCGACCGTCGCGCGCCGTTTACTTCCGCCTTGGGAGATCATTTCCGGGTCCCGGCAGGAAGGGGCCGGGCGCGCGCGACGTCAGCGCGTGACGTCAGCGCGCGATGCAGCCATCTTGGCTCCTGGCAGCGGCGGGCCAGGCCTCGGTCGTGGGCTGGGCGGCCATGTTGGAGTCGGGCAGGGGTCTCATATCCGGTCACTCTCCACTGGCGATGATCGATTGCACTTGACGGTCGCGACGCTGGTCGAGAGTCGCTCGCATTGCTCGAAGTTTTCTGCAACTCCAGGACCGTAAAATGTCTCGAAGATGGCGAAAGGCGTAGGCCCCTGCAGAATCAGATGATCCAGAAGGATGCCCACTGTCTTTTTGGTCCATTTCAGTTGTAAACCAAGAAATACCCGGGACAGGCCTCGGTGGGCTTCGGAGCGTGTCTCGGCAAGGTCGAGGTCTTTCTCCAGCGATGGTTTTGAGCCTCTGTATTAAAAGGGGGAAAGTGGGCTGTGGGGTATCCTGTTTCTGAGCCCATGGTGGGAAGAGAAAAGGAGTGGGCGGGGGGCGGGGATCGCTGATGATGCGTCCCCAAGATGAGGGGAACGGAGAGTGCGATCTGATCCCGCGTCTGTAGTTACCTGCCCAGGAACACGGGGAGAGGCAGTCCCTTGCCCGGCTCGGTCTTCAGCTTCGTTTTGTCCTTTTGGCAGCCTGAACTGGGGTCCTGAGCTTCTCCTTTCCTTTCACACCGTCCTCCACAGTTTCCCAAATGGGTTGTGGAATGCTCATTCCCCGGCACACCTGTGAGATCCCAGGCAGAAGCCAGTGTACAGAAACGCGTTGCATCAGTAGGGATTCTCGAGAGGCAGACCAATGTATTGGAGAGAGAGATCGATAGACGGATGAGAGTGGGTTTGTTAGGGGAATTGGCCCATGTGGTTAGGGCGGCTGAGAAGTCCCAGGAGGGACGCCATCTGCAAGCTGGAGACCTGGGATGCTGGCAGCCTGGCTCAGTCCAAGTCAGGAAACGGAAGAACCAGGGGAGCTAAAGGTGTGACTCTCAGGCCAGGGCTGAAGGCTGAGAATCCAAGGAACCGCTGGTGTTAAGTCCTGGAGTTCCAAGGCTGGGGGCCCTGGGGTTCTGATGTCCAAGGGCAGGAGGAGGAGGAGAGAGTCCCAGTGCCAGGAACAAGATCAGAACTCCTTTTCCCTCCTTTTTTTTTTTTTTTTTTTTGAGAGAGTCTGGCTCTGTCTCCTAGGCTACAGACGATGCAATGCAGTGGCGTGACCTCAGCTCAAGGCAGCATCCACCTCCCAGGTTCAGGCGTGTCTCCTGTCTCACCCTCCGGAGTAGCTGGGACTACAGGTGCATGCCGCCATGCCTGGCTAATTTTTTTGTATTAGTAGAGATGGAGTGTCACCATGGCCAGGCTAGTCTCCAACTCCTGACCTCAAGTGATCCACCTGCCTCAGCCTCCCAAAGTGCTGGGATTACAGGTGTGAGCCACCATGTCCGGCCCCTTTTTGTTCTCTCTGGGCCCCCAGGTGATTGATGGTATCCGTCCATATGGAGGGTCTTCCCCTCAGGACCCGGACCCCCAGGCAGGCTTCTCTGGAGACCCCCTCGCAGACACACCCAGAAGCAGCGCTTTATGAGGTCTCTAGGGGTCCCTTCATCCAGCCAAGTAGGTGCTTGAGATGACCCACGGCGGATTGGACATCTCCCTCCTCGTCCACTGGGACAGTGTCTGATTTGCTGTCTTTCCCTCCCGGCATAAGTCGGTCCAGAGAATTGTCACAAGACAAAATGACGAATTTAGTTTAAAGGTCCTCTTTGGCTTCATTGGTGATGCTCGATTCGGGCAACGCTGGGCTCTGCAAAGAGCAGGGAGTGCTCCCGGGGGCTGAAGAGAGGAGGTTGGTTTTCTAGACGGAAGGGCCGAGGAAAGCAGAGACAGAAAACACGGATCGCTCCCTTCAAAACTGCTTTTCTTGTAAGGGTGAAAGCGGAGAACTCCTTAATGTATCGACCAGGACCGGCCTGTTTGGGGATTTGGCTGTTATTACTCCCCTGATTTCTCAGAAGTTCAGATAAACAACTTAGCTTCAGTTTGGTGACATTGAACTTTTTTTTAGATGAAGTCTCGCTCTGTTGGCCAGGCTGGAGTGCAGCGGCATGATCTCGGCTCACTGCAAACTCTGCGTCTCTGGATTCAAGCGATTCTTCCTGCCTGAGCCTCCCAAGTGTCTGAGATTACAAGCACGTGCCACCACGCCTGGCTAATTTTTGTGTTTTTAGTAGAGACAAGGTTTTGCCATATTGGCCAGGTTGGTCTCGAATTCCTGACCTCAAGTGATCCTCCTGCCTTGGCCTCCCAAAGTGCTGGGATTATAGGTGTGAGCCACCATGCCCGGCCACCAAGGGCTTCCTATAGATTTCGTTTAACAGAAGGAAGGGAGGGGAGAGGGAGGCTGTGGTAGAGGCTGGGGGATTTGAGCAGAGGCTGTAGAGGTTGCTGTGTGGGAGGAACGGGTCCCCTCCGGTTCCCTGAGGAGGGCTGGGAGATGCAGTGAGGTCTTCCTTACGTGATTTTCTAGGAAAATGTTGCCCACATCTGGACCCCATGGTACCTGGGCTTTGAGAGTTAGCAGAGCCTTCCATGATGTCCCAGATGGATCCTGCAGAGGCCTCAGTAGAGATGGTGTAGCAGGGAGGGTGTGGGACAGGTCTGGGTGACTTGGGACATGGAGCCAACAGGATAGGGTGTCCCTGGCTTCTTCTCCCCAACAGGCCACATCAGGATGTCCCAGGGAAGTAACACAAACCCGAACTGTGTGTGCCCCTCGGTCCGGAACCTCTGGTCTCTGGAGCAGGCTCGGATCTATGGAGGGTTTTTCTTTGGAGCTTCCCTGGGACGTCCAGTGCGTTCTGGGCCGCACCAGGCTGCTCTCTGCCCAAAAGGAGACTCCCACACTGAGGAGCCACTGGCCAGAGGACTGCCCTGCGGGGAGGCAGACCTGGTTCTCAGACACTTGATGTGGGCAGGGACTGGCCGGCCTCTCCCTTAGCAGGGAGGAGGTGTGGTGTGGAGGGACGGCTGTCCCTGAGGAGGTGCAGCGTGGAGGGACCGCTGTCCACGTGGCTGTGTTTGACTTGGGCTCCTGGCTGGCTCTGCCACTTCTTAGGTGGGTGGCCCGACTTCTCTGAGCTGTGCTCGTCAGAGGACGGGGAGGACGATGCTGCCCAGGGCTGTCGGGAGGGTAGGCTGAGACTGCGTAAAGTGTTTGCACAGTACCTGCCAGGGGCAAGGTGGGCATCATTAAAAATAATCCAGGCTGGCGGTGGTGGCTCATGCCTATAATCCCAGCACTTTGGGAGGCTGAGAAGGGAGGATTGCTTGAGCTCAGGAGTTCAAGGCCTGCCTGGGCAACATAGCAAAACCCCATCTCTCAAAAAAAGAAAAATTAGCTGGGCATGGTGGCTCACACCTATCGTCTGGTCTGCTCAGGAGGCTGAGGCAGGAGGATCACCTGAGCCCAGGAGTTTGAGGCTACGGTGAGCTGATTCCAGCCTGGGCCACAGAGCGAGGCCTTGTCTCTAAACAAACCAAAACACATGAATCCTGGCGTATGCAAAGCGCTTAGTCATAGGTGAACTTAAATGGAAACTGTTAATTGAAA